GCATTTCCAAAGATGGAAAAGAGGTCTTTCTCAGAGACATTTGGCCAACAAGAGATGAACTTCAGGTTTCTGCTTTTCGATTGAAACTCAATCGTTTTATCATATCGTGTTTGCATTTCTTTTCGAGACAATTATCAGATTCATTCAGTTAAATAATTTGCAACCACCTGAAATGTGCCATAAAGAAATCTTTTATAGAAAGAAAAACCAAAGTTTCCCGGTTAATACATGGTGTCCGCAATTTCACTGCCATGTCTTTGCACTAATCATAGTTTGAACTAGCTCTATGAATCATTGTATCCCCTTTGCAAAAATAATTATAAAGCTGTATGATATTCCGTTAAGATCAAACCCTCAAATCCCGAGGGTACCCTCAAGAGTAGCTTTGCTCTATTGAGATCTTAGCCCACTTCTAACATTACGTAAGCTAATCAGCCACGTCAATTTTATGGATTTTTCCCCACTTTCACAGGAGGTGGAAAGACAGTTTGTTATTCCAGCTATGTTCAAAGAAGTCTATTCCAAGTTGTCGGTAAGTAGTGCACAGAAACTTGCTTCAATCGTTTAATAGCTTCAATCGTTTAATAGCCCAATTTCTCAGTTCTGACACATTGATAGCAACAACCTTTTTCTTGCAAAATATAAATTTTTTTTTTTTGGGGGGGGGGACAGAGGCCAAGGTTACGCTGAGGTGATAAATATATCTGTAAAGCAAGGATTTGTCTCAGTAAACTTGGTATCCTTTGATCAAAATTAATCTTCAATTACTGTTTCAGAGCGGCAACCCCCGTTGGAATTCTCTGGAAGCACCCGACGGCATGTTGTATCCATGGGATTTGAAATCAACTTACATCAAACATCCACCTTTCTTTGAAACCATGGTAAGTTTTAGAAGAACCTTGCATTGTTAAAAGCTGACTGCACTTCGCGTTTATCTCCTCCGCGACAACGCGCATCATTTTAAATTTAGCGCCCCTGCAATAATCACCTCGCGTGAGGTGATTGTAGCGCGATATGTCCCAATCCACGGTCAACCAGAGAGCAAGAATCTCTTTAATCACGTAATAAATTATACTTAAATTTTTAAAGAAACTGTGGTGCTGCATCGGTGGGGGTATTACTAGATAAGTACTGTTATATCATGTAAATTGGCTGTCGTAAATGGTTACTAGAGTTGACGTTTCGAGCGTCAGTCCTTCGTCAAAGCGAGTTGCTCTAACGTAGGGCTAACGCGAATTATTGGTTGGCAGTAGAACTTGATGAGAAAAATTCCCCCAAGTGGCTTCAGAATAAGTCAGTGTGTGTGTGTATTTCATTTCCAGGCCAAAGATTTGCCAGAGCGTGTCAGCATGACAGATGCCGCTGTGCTGTTGAACTTGGGCGACTCAGTAACCACTGACCACATCTCGCCTGCGGGCAGCATCGCTCGTACCAGTCCTGCTGCTCGGTATCTGGGTAGCAAGGGGTATGTTTGATAAGAACTCTCTCTGCTTTTCGATTTTGACCTTTTTTTGTTTAATTTGGGAATTAAACTCTCTTTATTCTGATTTCGTCACATTTGTATCTTCAAGCACCCAGTTCATTGGTTAAAGAATCTGAATGTGTGTGACGGTGATCTTCCTCGAAGGCTCTCTTCTTGCCACATTTGAAGCTTACCTACAATACTATTGGTTTTTTTTTTTTTTTTTCTTTTCTGAAAAAGTTATCTATTTTCAGGCTTGCACCCCGGGAGTTCAACTCTTATGGCTCTCGGCGAGGAAACGATGCCGTAATGGCACGCGGAACATTTGCCAACATCAGATTGGTCAATAAGTTTATCGGAAAAGCTGCACCTAAAACCATGCACTACCCTTCAGGTGACACGGTATGATAAACATTAGCACATAGCCTTCACGGCAAAGAACAATTGTATTAGTGGTAAATTGACGATTTTCCAAAGTCCCTTTTCCAAATTCTCGGCTATTTTGAAAGCGATTTTTCAATCCAGTGTCTAAAGTAATTCAGGAGGGAGGCTAGATTAATCCCTCCCGACGGAATGAGCTAACGAGCTTTGAGCCGTAAGTGCGACAAAGCGGGACACAACGCGAAAGCACGCGCAGGTGAGAAATTCGCTTTGATAGCCAATAAAAGGGCAGGATTCGTTTCCTTTCGCCGTAAATCAAAGTGTTAGTGACGATGAAAATGATGCCTTGCGCCGTACAATTGAAAGGAGATTGCGTTATCATAGAGTGATAATTTGAATATATCAACAAAGTTGAAATGGTAAATTGGCTACCGTTACGATTGTAAAAGCTGACCTTTGGAGCGTTAGCCCTGCGTCGGAGGATTGTGTCATCATAGAGTGTACTCAGTCCTTCACTGTGCGTAGTTATGCTATGAGATTGTCGTGTTGTTGGTTTCATTTCTTTCTTGTCGATCATACTCCGCAGATGGATATTTTTGATGCTGCAGAACGTTATCGCGAAGAAGGACGTCAACTCATCATCCTGGCCGGCAAAGATTATGGTTCGGGATCTTCACGTGACTGGGCAGCTAAGGGACCCTGGATGCAGGTACATAGAGCTAAATTGAAACTTCAAATGAGGTCCTAGGTTTTATTGACTTGCAAGCTCTGTTTTCCGATTGATGTACTGTTGGCTAAATATTTAGTTAAAACTTATTGTTCGTTTATCGGCTCTGTTCTGTTTAGGGTGTTAGGGCGGTGATATCAGAGAGTTTTGAACGAATTCACCGAAGCAACTTGGTGGGAATGGGTATCATGCCCCTGGAGTATCTTCCGGGTCAAAACGCAGAGAGTCTGGAACTCACTGGAAAAGAGAGTTACACCATTGTGGTACCAGATGACCTGAAAACTGGCCAAACACTGGTTGTTAAGGTAGACTCCAGCTTTAGCTTAATGTCTTAAAATTTAATTTTCACGTTGTGATTCGTGCTTTTGCCCTTTGGGAAGCACTAACAGAAAGACTCTCGAACGCCTGCAACGACGTGTAGCGAGAATCGTATACGGTTTTAAACCTGGCATAGCCACGGAATCAATACTTGAGAACCTACGCTGGCCGCCTCTTACATGAACTATGGAAAAGCATTGTGCACTGTTAACAAGTGCTTGGTTGGAGAAGTTCATTCATACTTTTAAGACTTTCATGTTACGCAGCCAGAGCGACAACCAACATAGATGTACTAGATCGTCAATCACTGACATTATTCTTCCTAAATTTCATCTAGATGTCGCTAAAAGTCTTTTAACTATCATGGTGCAATGACATCTAATAGTCTTTCAATGAACATTAAGACTTTACCACCTAAGGAACGTTTCCCGGCTATCCCCGCTTTTTATTCTTAGGCTATGAAATCGAACATTGTTACTTTTTATATATCAGTTAGTTTTTAATTGATGTGTTTTGATATGATTTATTTTACTCTTTTATTTTATGTTATACAGGACCATGTTGATACCAGTCCTGTGACTGAAGGGGTCACCCTGTTTAAATATCGATTATTAATTATTATTATTATTATTAATAATAATAAGAAGAAGAATGCGGGCTTCCTTAATTATGTAGAAAAAATCTAAATCCTTGGCCTATTTATTCTAGGGAAGACGAAGGCAAAAACTTTCAACTGACTGTCTCTAGGACCGTCTGTCTGATTGTTTGATCGATTGATTGATAGATTCATCGACTGATCTGCTGACCGACTGTTCGACTAATTTATTTTCAGTTGAGTGATGGCCGCTCTTTCAATGTAAAGGTCCGTTTCGACACGGACGTGGAACTGACGTACTTCAAAAACGGAGGAATTCTGAACTATATGATAAGGAGTATGCTCGCTTGAGAAGACTGCTGAAGTTTGGAACGTCTCGCCGAAAACTGAACCAAGACAGCTTAATTCTCGGAATATCCCCAGTTAAAATCTTAATATACTGGGTACATCGAACACCGGAACACAATAGATATCATAAGCATTTGGGTTTCTATCCTTTTTTCCTAGCAAATCGGTCGAACAAGACTCTTAGTTTTTCAATTACATGTGTACATAATTTATGAATTGAGCCTGACTATTTAAGAAGAATATCAGGAAAGCTACAATTTTTGTGGTGAGAAGCAAATTGTATTTTAAATTATGTATGAAGGTGACCTGTTGGAACCTGAATATTTAGGGAAAAGTAATTTTTCAAGTACCGAAGTTTAGTAACAGCAAGCTAGTCTTGCTTTTTCACACCAAGAGAGCCACACTATATTTAAGAATTTGAAGAAAGCGCTCATCTGGAAATAAATCGAAGAAAAAGGGTTATCCATTGGTTGTTATGGCAAATATTAGCAATCCTCTAACTGATAGCGATTTCATATCATGAGATCAACCGGAAGAGAGGGAAGTGAAGTTCAGTAAGGAGTTCAACACGAGTTTTCATTGTGTTGACCTCTTGGGATAAGTCCTTTGCCTTTGTGATTCGTTTGGTTTGGCGACATTAGATCGAAAAGCGCTGTGGGAGAACCCCCTATCCAACCCCAAAAAGAACCCTGAGAATCACTTTAACAGACCTTTTCAAACCGTTCCTTCTTTTCCCTCTCCGCGCAAACCGCCTCCCAGTTAGCTCAATGGATAGAGCGCTGGACTGTTGTGCGGGAAGTCGAGGGTTCGAGTCCCGGCCGGACCAACACTCAGGGTCTTAAAAAAATTGAGAAGAATATGCTACCTTTCTATAACGTCAAGAAATGGTTAGATATTCTAGTCTTCTCGGATAGGGACGAATAAATGGAGGTCACGTCTCCTGCCGAGTTAGGGGCAGGAGACGTTGTTTTTCCACGCACGAGATTACTGTGTGATGGATGTCCTCCCCTGGGGTGGGATGGGTAGGTAACAGGACCCCCGTTGATACCAGTGTTTACTACCCTGAAGGGCTAACCTGTATAAATACAAATGTCTACTCTACTCTGAAAAAGCTGACGCTTCCCACCTTCACGTATACGTTTTTGATTTGTTTAGTGATGAATGCACGATTCACTTTGATTTCATAGATTTTATTAAACCTTTGCCTAGATACTGAAAGCACCGAAGCATATGCACAACTTATAGCTTGACGAACGATTAATTTTAATGGATTATGAAATATACCGTACGTAAACATTTACGAGACTTTTACGGAAGTCGAATACCCCGAAATAAGGTGAGATTGATATCAGTTTGTCACGAGCACGAAAAGAAGAGGATCTAACCATTCGGATTGAAATCGCTTTCACTTCAAGTGAGTTTATTGGGGCATAGGAAGCTCGTGATAGGGGTCATGTTTAGTTTGGTTGTATGGAGGTGGGGGGGGTAGGGCTTACAAAAAAAGGATAGCCCCCCCTTCTCTTACTCTTGCATGTTGTCTTCCCCCTGATTAGACATTTGTCTCTCCCCTCCAGAACATCAGGAAGGAATACAACAAAATACGCCAGCGTGGCAGTGCAGGGGATAAAGTCTCGGTGACTTACAAGACCTTACTCGTTTCCAATCGTCTTAAGAGGGAGGCACGCTGAGATCGCCATTACGCTGTCCTCTTTCGTATGGTACTGATTGTTCTAATCTTTCTCGCTTTTAGAGACCAATATGAGACTAATGAGATTACCACAATACTCCTGGTGAGCTTAATTAAAAACCAGTGACATTTTGCTGTTTCGTGTGTACTTCGTTCTGTTATGGTTTGGCAGCAAACTCATCAAACGTTTTTCTCAATCATGGACAAGTTACATTCCCTAAAGTTAGTCTACGTTATCAGGATTGCTTGAGAATAAATACACTTGCTTCTGGCCTTAATGTTCTTTCGCTCATATCAATTTAATTTACAAGAACCTCCGACAAAGGCTCTCCTCCACATTACATAGCCTCTGGGACGATCACGCAGACTTTACAACTCTCCATTGCAGTGTACTCGCATCCCGACCACCAACGGAGATCAGTCGGACGTCATCGTGAAGGAATCGAACATTCATGACATGTGCACTGTGACCTTGGACAATTCTCGGCTCAGCCTAAACATAAGCAAACGTAAGCAATTAAAAACAAAATGGAAAAACCACAGATTTAAGAACGGAATAGACCACTTTCATTAATGGCTGCCGTATAAATTATTCTTTTGCTTAAATTTAAATTAGCCCTACTGGCCTCGCTTGAGATAATGTATTCTTTTGAATTTTGTGCTGGAGAACGAGGCCAGTAGGGCTAATTTAAATTTAAACAAAAGAATATTAATCCGGCAGCCATTTATGAAAGTGGTTTATAGGATACGATATCAACTATAAAAATACATGTCATGCAGTTAACTAATATACACTAAAATTACTAAGGAACTGAATTTCTCCGTTGTATCCCATTTTATTTCCATTCTTTTACAGCATGTTGCCTTGATACGTCCCATAATACAATACTAGTACATACTAAAAGCAATTTTAGGATCTCAAGGAATGGATCCCTTGCTGAAGATCTTCAGTCAAAGTATAAGCATCTCAGCGTAGTTCACTTCTTTGTACCCATGACATGAGATCTGAGAAACAATTGACATAATTGCAATTAGCAGATAGCAAATTGATTAACTTCTTACTAACCGGACACGAGGGCCACACCGGCGAATATCATTGGTCCGTGGTGGTGGCAGTGCGGACCATGCGCAGCGAGGTCCGTACAAAAACGACCGAGGGCCAATAATTCCCAGTGCAGCTCGAGCAAGCGATGTTAGCATTAAGCAGTTTATTCTGTGGCACTCGGACCAAACTGTAATTTTCCGGCTTTCGTGAGCAAAAATGCACGGCTTATGAAGGTTTCCTTTACGCATGGCAAAATCTCGACCAAGTGAGACCCGATCAGAACGCTCGGATTTACCTCTAGGCTACCTTGCTATCATATAATAATGCTTGATATTTCTTAAAGTGGATGGCTGTATGGTTAGAACAAACTTTTTCTCTTTTTATCCTTTACCCCCCAAAATCAGTATGCATATTCTCCATACAGTTCCCTTTGCATTCTTAAATTGCTGACAAGGAGAATTTGTTTAACAATCAAGAGTTTGTTTAATTAGCGATTATTTCCTTTATTCTCAGGACCTTAATGTTTTATTAAGGGTGATACAGTAAGGAGAAATTAGATGCTGATCACCCGTGGGGGCCAAAAGGTTAAAATCCATACTCATAGGTGTTAACCACTTACCATTTTCCGAAGCCATGGTAACAGCAGATGCGTCCCTCGCAGTCTGACATACCGTACATATGATCTTCTCCTGGGTCGCAAACATATTTGCAGGTTCCAGACAAGCCATATCCAAGGTAGCAACTCATTGGTGGTTCGTCTGCCGAGATGTAAATTATTTACAATGTTATGACAACTGATCAGCGCAGTCCCTTGATTAATCCTTTATCATTTCAGTACAAAAGCGCTTTTAGTTGTGTGTCGTATAACTAGATATAGAACCAAATTAATCACCAAAGATATTGGAANCCGGCAGCCATTTATGAAAGTGGTCTATACAGGCAATATTCTTTCCGCTTAGACCGCTGAGCGAGCGAAAAGAGGAGAAAAGAAACCCATAGCGCGAAGTCTGGGTGCCGAAAAAATGAACTTCAACGAGATCTACCTTTTTATTGACACAAGGATATCTGTACAGATTAACGTTGCCAAAGTCATCCCCCGTTGCTACCAACTGTTTTCCATGAGAGCGATCCACAGAGTTCACGTCAGTTCCATCTGCCCCGTCCGGCCAAATTCCTACGGATCAATAGATACACTGATCAATAAAGCTGGTCTTTGTGTTTTCCATCGCCCAGTGCGATTTTTTTTTTGTCAAATATCGACGGTGACGCGAGGGAAACAACACCAGTAATATATCTATATTACTCACGAATTTCGCGATTATCTATACCAAGCAAGTTAATTTACCACTTTCCACCGTGAAAAAGGACGATTTCGCATTGTTCATAGCAGAAAACGCCCGTTTAAAATGAGGTTATTCTGAAAAGTTCTGCTAACGATGTTTACTACTCAACGCATGGCAAACCAAACCCACATAGTGAAGATGCTACTTACCTATGACAGAGTAACCCAATACACAGTTGTGTGAGGCCCATTCTGTGTTGCGCATGCTCTCTGTCTGGGTTATTTGCTCTCCTTGCAGAGGTTCCCCTGACGATGAAAAGAAAATTTGGCTGAGTATCATTTTGACATACTGGGGAATAATCATGTTCGCGAACAAATTTCACTTCTGGTAGAAAAAATTACAAGCAGTGATGGGAACAGCAATGGTAATGGTAGCGGAAGAGGTAACGGTATCAATAATGGTATCAATCACGATAACGGTATCCATAACTGTAACGGTAACGATAACGGTAACGATAACAGTAAAGGCAACGGTAATAGTAACGGTCTCGACAGTAACAGTAATGAAAAGAGTAAATTTAGCCACAATAGTAGCAACAATAGGTAACGGCAGTCACTGTGTTGATGTGTATGGTAATGATAATAATTCGGTTAGAGTCAATCATTAAAAAATCACTTTCACGATTTTAATGTGATAAATTGTGGATCAACAGCAATCCTTACAAAAAAGCAATTCATAATCCTTTGAGGTACTTTGAAGTTTTTCTCCATCTGTGGACCAATCCAGGTGACTAACGGAGCTTGTGTGACCCTGCAGGAAACACAACGATAACTTGTGAAGGGGAAAGAAAAACTCTGATCACTTTACACAAGAACAACACGGAGTACTCAATTTTGATTCTTACTTTCACACAATTGAAAGTTCATATTTCCTGTCACAAATAGAATATGCAATAGTCCATATTTCATTTTGTTGATGAAAGGTGCCTAACAACAGATATTTATAAATACACCAAACTTGTAAGCTGCCGTATCTCTAGTCCTTAATTTTAATGGTTGGGTTCTGTGTAAGCACCAGACAGTCACCGCAAAACTAAAAAAAAAAAGACAAACAAATTCTCGAGTTTTTACCTTACAACGAGCCTTAAGAGACACAGACCTTCCCTCATTTCGCAATTCGTATATGTAGACGTCATTGTCATGACAACCAAGGGCAACATGACTTCCATCTAATTATGAAACAAAAACAAGTTTAAGCAATAGCGAAAATCAGACCTGAAAAAATCAGGCCTGTACGGGATTCGAACCACTGACCTCTGCGATACTAGTGCAGCGCTCTACCAATTGAGCTAACAAGCCAACTGGGAGCAGGCCGTTAAGTTGATTCGTAATAAACCCGTGAAAGTGATAAATGAGATACAATGAAATATATGAAGTTCATATATTTTCTACTGCGGTATTAGATACATATGATGCACGATCCTCGCAGTAGATAGCGCTATTTAAGCAATAGCGAAAATCAGACCTGAAAAAATCAGGCCTGTACGGGATTCGAACCACTGACCTCTGCGATACTAGTGCAGCGCTCTACCAATTGAGCTAACAAGCCAACTGGGAGCAGGCCGTTAAGTTGATTCGTAATAAACCCGTGAAAGTGATAAATGAGATACAATGAAATATATGAAGTTCATATATTTTCTACTGCGGTATTAGATACATATGATGCACGATCCTCGCAGTAGATAGCGCTATTTAAGCAATAGCGAAAATCAGGCCTGTATCTAATACCGCAGTACAAATTATATGAACTTCATATATTTCATTGTATCTCAAAACCAAGTTTACAGTAGGTACAAGTCTCGACTAAAAAGGGGTGAAAATTATCTTTTTGAATAGTTCACCAAAGTTGCTAGCTCACACTCTACCTGAAGAAAATTGAATCTCTGATATTTTCTCCGGAGGTTCAGATTTTCGAATAAAAATGGTATCTCCAGTAGACGAGTTCATTAACATCCACCTGAAAAGTGACACAAAAAGCTGCACCATTAGGGTGACATTTGTGTTGAAATTGATAAGCCTCAGGTGCACTAATTTGAAGTCGTTCAGTCGACTGTCACTGGTTAGTTCAGACATAATCAAACGTAACCTTGAGTTACAGATTGTTGTTGACTTTTGTGGACCTAATAAAATGTTTTTAACCCTTTAGATTAACTCCCAGAAGTGATAAACATGTAACTTCTCTCAATCATATTCATACATCATCCAGAAAACAGGTGATGAGAGTATTCAGACTTATCAAGTGAAAGTTGTTATCTTGATCTAACACCAAATTCTTGTCACTAATTTACAAGGAAATGTATGGCAGGTGGAGAGGAGAATTAACAATTAGATGTTACAAGTTAAAGTGCTTTTCAATCGCGTTGAACCAACTGGCCAAAGGCAAAACCCCATGATTAATAAATTCATAACAATATGTGAACAGAACAACTTGCTCTCGCAGACTATTTTCCAATAGTAACCAAGTTTTATGCAAACTCACCCCCCTGTCGTGAAGCCAACAGCAATGGAGCTACCGTCAGGATGAAAAGCTGCCGCTTGCATCGCTGAAGTCTGGGGAAAAAATGTGTGAAAACTTCATTATAAACGGGCATACTGGAAGAAACTATCAAAAAGTAACTTGCCCTCCAGGCTTTATGTCCGGTCTTATAATTATCTCTAATTCCTTTTGAATGCTTTAAGATGTAACTCAGTTGGGAATTTTTTAGGTTTTACACACACACAAATGACTAAGTGTTAGCTCTCTAACTTAAAAATAATGATTTTCTTGATTTTTTTTAAAATATGGATTGAAATACAACGATGGGCTCACTAATGCACTTACCAGTTTGTTGTTCGACCAAAGGACCCGACGTTCAGCGGCGTTCCACAATCGTACAATCTTATCACTTCCGGCCGTGACAAACAACGGAGAGCTGGGATGAGTAGCTAGTCCTCTAAGATCTTGACAATGCCCCTATAAAACAAATTGATAACAAGAGAAAGAAAAAAGTATATATAATAGAATCGCATAATTGAATAAATTTCGCATTCTGATCACGATCACGATCACGATAACGACAGCAATAACGATAACGATAGTAACGATGATAATGACTTTAAGCAAGAGCAATTTCACAACCTAACCAGCTGAACTGATCACAAACACCTCATTTCAATGTTAACAATCAGCATGTGGTCGGTTGAGTTTCCCTGACAGCGCACACCTTTGTAGCACCATTCACACCACAAGATTCTTTATTACCAACCTCCATAATTTTGACAAGTCTGCCACCGGCGCCCACGAGAGGCGATTCTAAGCTTGCATTGAGTGATGTACACCAGATGTTGTTGTCCACTGTGCCGATGTAGAGTTTATGAGTTTCTGCAGTCCCCAAGGCAAGACAACGCACTCCGCTCACTTCCAGAGGCATCTACCGAAAGAAATCAGTAAACAGCTGGAACATTATCTGTAAAAGCAACGGGACATACAGTCAGGAAATCCTAAGTAGTTATCCTCACTCCCCACCGGGTCAGCTGGTCCCAGGTTATGAAATGTAAATGTGCCACTAAGGCTCAAGATCAGAGGTAAAGTGTTCAAGCCCTACCCTTGCTCATTGTGTTCATGATTTTGGGGAAGGCAGTTTATTAGGGGCCGACCATTTAACTCTTGAGGGGGGGGTGGGTGATTTTGAAAAAAAAATTTCCTGCAAGCACTTGTTGGAAGAAAAAAATTGCTTGCAGCCCAAATTCAACAGAAAAAATGTAACAAAAAAACGGAAAAAAATATCCTGCCCAGCAGATTGCTAGAAAAAAAATTTCTTGATGACCAGAAATCACCCATCCCCCCTCTCAAAAGTTAAATGGTCGGCCCCTTAGCACTTGTCTCTTCTAAGGAGCAAAAGTGGGTAACAGAGAAGAGTCAGATAGACTAAGAAGACATTACAAGAATAGTGGTGAGAGAGGAAAACCTGTGAAAGTGTATCCACCCTTCTGAAGATCGCAACACTCACAAAAACTTCACTTCATCATCTTCCCTACCAACCTTAAGCTCCACATTTGTCGGGACTAATCTTGGTGTTCTGCTCCAGGCTCTCACGGTCGACTCACCACCTCCCCCTGAGAGTATGACACCGTTTGGTAGAACAAGTAAGGCGTAAACAGGGCCCTAGAAATACGGAAAACTTCGTGAAAAAATTTATACGAAAAATAAGCAAACTACGTTTCACATTTCATACTTACAGAATGAGCGTTCCTTACTCCAAGCTCCTCAGCAACTTGATTGGACTCTGGTAAAAGATGACAAAAAAAATTAGAAACTCTCATCTTTCCCTTCTATCATTTCATCCTTCTCTCTAAACTGCTCCCCAACCCTCATAAGGGTAAAATTTAATTTCTCATATTAGGGGTCGCTAATAAGTTCTCATATCAGGGGTCGCTAATAAATTATAGCCTGGGTGGGGAGGGGGGAGGGCATTCGAAGGATTTTGGTCGTGTCACAATCAAATGTGATGTTCCCCCTCATCAGAAGTCAATTTTCTATAGTCCCCCTTTAAAACTCTGTAAACGAAGACTGATCCCCCCTTCGTTCTTCTTGAAAACCATTTGGTCTTCCCCCCTCGCTGAAAAAACCCTCTTCCAACCCCGATAAAGAATGATTGATCCCTGAGGTTACTCTAAAACTGCGATCTGTGAAGAACTACAACTTATCACTTGCACCAAAGCAAAAATGTATCATTACTGAAGTGTTCAATACTAAGGTACATGGTGTTAGGCTCCGTATTAAGCAAAAAGCTATGTAACTCCAGGCATTTTTCAATCGTTTAAAATGTGACAGAGGAGAAAATACAAACCCTCGGGCCAAACACTAATGGCGCCATCTGTATCTCCTGTAATGATGTCACCGTTTGTGGAGAAAGCGATGCATGACACATACTTTGGTCTGCGGTTTTTCTGTTGAAATGAAATCAAAACAGGGTATCATCAGGGCTATTTGGAGATGTCTTTTCATCCATGTTTTCAAATGGCTGATAGTCTTGGAAGCTCGAAAGCTAGAAAACAACATCCTCGGATAAATTGCGATCTAGAAGATGCGTGTTAGATGTTTGCAGGCTGCAAGAGCTCTACAAACACACTAGGTACTATTTTGCCACGGGCTGAGTGCCACTGGCTAGGTGAAATGAGGTTCGTGGAAAACGTTTTTCTCTAACCACTGGGACCTGGGAGTGGTTATGTGACTTTTGGCGGGAAGTCGTTTTAGTTGCTTCCACCACTTCTTTCCATAAACACCCAGATTAAAGTTGCAGTGTAAAGTTATCAATCTATCTTCAAACCGCGTTAATTGTGCTATTCTAAATAATTTTTTATGATGTACTGTACCGTATGTGGTTTTGATGAGTTTGAAAAACAGGTTAGGTGGTGGAAAACAGAATACTCTTGCAATCAGAAGTGTGTAAGAGCCCCCTGGGGACATTGTCTTACACGACTAGTTCCAAACGGTCTCAGTCGTTCTGGCATCTGATTGGTGCCAGAAAATCTTTGAGTTTTTCTGCCCAATCAGAGTGAAGTGTGGATTGGGGTCCTTTCGCGTGTTTTAATACGGACATAGACAAGACGCTCTGTTGCTCGCTATATTTGTTTGAGCCGTGCGGCGAAGCTTTGCCCGTGGTGAAAAGTTTCAGTCTCAGCACACAATGTAAGAGAAATCGATCAGATTGCCCACGAAAATCTTACCGGTAATTATACTGAATATTTTCGCAGGTATCACAACAGAACGTGTTCAAAAGTTTGCTAGGTTCGTATAAAACATAATGATTGCAGGCGTTGATATGTCGCTTTAAACGTTAAACGAGATGTAAGCTTAAATCTATCTACCAGTGTAGATTTTTTGTTTTTAATTTGCTGTAACTGAAACTTTTCCAATCCCGTGAAGCTATTTCGTCGCAAGGGCCATGCAGGTATGTCGAGCAACTGGCGCTTACGCAGCTTACTGTGCGCGCCAAAATCTAATCTAATCTTCGCCTGAAAAAAAAAGAAAAGCTGAGCGTGAAAACTTTTGTTTATTAGATGTGGGTAGATAACCCTGGACTAAGCTGACATTTACAATAAAGCAAACCCGCCCTTTCCATCCAATATTTCCTTGTCTTTGGTTTTGCTTTCCCCAATGAAAGCAGCATCGATTCTCAACGATCAAAGGTATTTAACTTGGTCTTCAACAATCGACAAATGAGGTGAAATGACAATGACCAAGGGAGTAGAAGAGAATCCGTGGCCTTTCGAGCTCAAGAATTTGAACACTCTAGGCAGCAGTTGAAAGATTAAACTCTTT